AGATGTATGAAATCAGGTAACGGAGAAGAGGAAAACAAACGTGACAGTGTAGAGCATAACATCTCACATGAACTTGAGTCTGCATAAATGTCATTTCGTCAAACTCTTCAATGAACTCAATTTACAGACAGTGTCATTCGATCAGTGATAATGACTTATAAAACTAAACTTTGGACTGAAATCATGTTGCAATGAGCTGTTGGAATTATGATTGGTGTATCAGAAAGATAGGTGTCACCGAATTGTTTCAGTTTTTTGTGCTACATTTCATCAAAGACGAATTACAAGATCCGCATTTTCTGACATCCACTTAATCAGACATCTCGAGTAAAATAACTGAGGTGTGAGTAGATATTTGGAGACGTATAACGCTTATGGGTACCCATTTACTCATCTACACATGGACACGTGGTTGACTTATTTAAACAGACGATATACACACTCAAGTTACATGCTTAATCACTCACATACAGCAGGAGAATCACACTTGCACTCCTCAGTCCTATTACCACTGTGTGCGAAATGAAGTAGGTCAGGTATGAAATAGAAATAAAACAGTGGTACTTGGAACTTTTGTTTTCCTTACACAATGCACATTCTCAATGCTTCACTGAAATGATCATGCGCTTTTGAAAGATGTAGCTGAGATTCAAACATATCTCTATTTTATTAAAGACTACTGTATGTCATCAATCAACCATTATGCGAATGAATATTTCAGTTGGAATAGAGCAATTTGAATGAACCAAGAAATTTAGTGTAAATTGTGGTTAATAATAACGATAATATACGTAATGATAATAACAATAATGAAATAATTTTCAAGCATATTTGAAAGACTAAATATTCACATGTTGAGATGTAAGAAGGTTTCTACCACTGTTAGTTTATAAAACCAATTTCAAAATGAAAAGACAAACATATCAAAGACGTTTATTTTGTTGAACAATCTGATCTACGTCTACTTCACTAAACTGCACTTATTAAACTTAATGATTATTCAATGAAAACAAACATTTGGTCAACAGTGAAACGTATATATTCAGAACAATTGGCTATGGTGAGTTTACCTGTCAAAGTCTCCCGGTTCGTGTCGTGAAAACAAGAGTTGCGTGAAAATCATGTGAGAATGAATTAATCACAGAACACGTGATTGACAGTATTCTATAGGTACTCAATTGCTGGAGAATGATGACACATGAATATCTTTGTCCTGCCATAGTTCGTTTGTCGTTTGAATTTCGCAGCAGTTACTCTTCATTGTCCAGAATTGAATGATATGAGTTTGGATGACACGGGCAGTATTGGTTTTTTCGGAAGTAAGAGTAAATCTCGCTCATGTATACCGACTCTCTTCAAGAACTCCTGCTGAAAGACTAAAAACATCGAATATCAATCAAAGTATCTCCTCGTAAACATCAACTACGTATACAAGTTTGAAATAGAGGATGCTGACATAGGCGGCAGACTATATAGATCTTCATCTGCGATTGTTTACTTATGTAGAAACTCATTTTGATTCTGCTACAAAATTAGGAAGAATTACAATACCAAATATACTTCAAGACGTATTCTATGTTTTGCGAAATTTGATCACTTACATCTCACGATGATATCCAACTTCAATCAATACTTAACATAAACGTACATTTGGTCAACAGTCATATGCATCTATACAGAATATCGTGGGTCGATCAATTTATCTGTCACACTGTAATGATATAAAACGATACACAGAACGTCATAAAGATTATGTGATCAATCATCTTGATGACAGTCTCATTGAAAATTATCATGAGACGTATTAACTAGTCGAGTCTAAAATCATCGGATTTATTACTGATAGTTTCATAGATTTATGAACTGCGGACGTACAAACTAGACAATTCTATAAGAACGCTTTCACTAAACTCATTTGAAATCAGATGATAAATGGAATCAGTGTTTATTCATAGCTAAAGCAATACTTCCTGTAACCTGAAAGACAACCTACTCGTTTTCCTTTCAATCTCTCTTTAGAAAAACAGTACTCATCTGCAAAAATGGAAATTTCATGCAACTTTGTTCCGTGGGCGTAAATGACGGTCTGTCATATACAAGCATCATTAGTAAGTGACATTCCTTATTATATTCAAGATTTATATCAGGCACATAACACAAAACAGAAAATCATATAATTTTGATTATTTAGATAGAATATTGTGATAAACAACATAGAAGTACATACATTGACGTTTCTACAAACAATAATTGAGGTCAACAGACTGACGTCACTTTAAAATCACACTCTCCAATAGTGTATACTAATAATATCATCATTATTTTTATTTTTAGAAAGATATTTCTTGAGTGTAAAGGCATATTAGATTAAATGTACTGGAATAGTAGATGTGATGATGATACGTGATATACAGACACATATTCCTCACTGAATTCTGAAGGTTCAATAGAATTTCAAGAGTACATATGAAGCACGTGTCGTGTTCCAGTCAAATTATTACTGTTCAATACAGGATTATATGATTGTGATGGAGAGTGTTATCTTGGAAATCACTTGAGCTATATGTTTCAGGTGTCTTACAGATTATGGAGTCGAGTAAAATAGAGATGCACGAGATGAGTGTACATTATTTCAAAAGAGAGAATACAAAAAATATAAACAATTGAAACAGCGAACAATCAGCGGCGTATAATTTGGAACTTAAATCGCCTATCGCTTTGTATATGACAAATACTGTTTATCACAGTCATTTGACATAGGTCTGAATCAATTCTTTTCAGCTCATCATCAGTTGTGCCTTCAGTGCATATACGGGTCGATGTACATTTATATGACGATCATTTGTGCTGTCATCACAAAGATAAATTGAAAAATCAGGAGTATATTCTATACAGATAAGATATTGTACAATTCTCATACATTTGCTTATATACATGGATTCTAATGCATTAGTGTCACGTTCTAACAAAAGATATACAAGGAGAGACAAATAAATGAAATTGATGGTTAGTACCTGATAAGAGGACACCTGCCAGGATTTAGCTAGACATAAATGTTTATCCACAACCCGAATTATAATGCCCTCAAAACGTTCTCCGCACTCCCTGCTAACTACCTCAAGCTTTCTTCGTAATACATCAAAGTCTCCTTTCCCAATGCCCATGAATGGATAATGAAGAACAGTAAATAGTTAATAGGTTATATGCAAGAATTGACAAGCTGTATTAGTTGACATCGCATAACGACAAAATCATGCTGTAAGTCACACTGTGTACTTGCGATACATTTCCTAATAACAATATGTAGAATACACGAGATATCACATCAAATAATTTATAATCTGACTCGTACTCTTCCTGAGCACAATTACTGATTGACACTAAAACATACACACATATGTTTTCCTCTGGTAATTAGATCATGATGAACGACATGAAACGGATGATGTATCACTGAACACAATTTGGATATTGATAAATTCACGAAACTACAGTACAACTGTTTGTTAGACTACAGACTGTAATACCTGAGGAAACGACATTTTGCTTAATGCCGACATCTTTTTAAAATGAAACATCACACCCCTATTGTACCATGAGAAGAAAGCCGTTTGTATATATTACCCAGACATAAATATTCTCGAAATGTATTAACAGTGAGCAGTGTAATATGATAGACAAATAGAATGGATGTGGTTTTGCTCACAAGTTACCATTTCCTATTAAACGACGTATGTAATCGTTTGACAGAATGTGTTTATTGAAATGAAATTCAAATGTAAATGTGTAACGTTTCACATTCAATCAAAACAGTTTGTGCTACTTTTATTTTAACCAATCCAATCAAGATGGTGCACTATTAAATGTCAATTAACAAATTATTACAGACAACAAACTGTTTGTTCATGAACGTATGAGCAGATGTTTTGACCTACAAGTTAACCAATCGTCGATTATAAATAATCGGTAATCACATCCATGATAAGCTTCATCAATAGGGGTCAGAAATTTCAAACAACTGTGGATAAATTTCAGCTCATATTCTCAACAACCAGAAAAATATTAGATAAAGATGGTCTCATCTACATCTATGATTGGTTAACAATGAACATACGATTTTACCACGTATATTCATCTTAATGGTCAGTTTGAATCATCGAATCAGTAGTAAACAACCAGACACTTCAAAATTCTATATAAACCTGACACGTTCTATTCAAATATGACTTACTACCTTGAACAAGAAGATGAGGTGAGTGTTGACTAAACATACGAACTCAATTTGAAAATCGATACGATGAGATAACGTTGTTAATTTCATTTGAACCATTTTAGACACAACATTTTACCTCCTCAATTGATGTCATTCTTCCTAATTATCATCTAGCTTACCGAATTCTACAAAAGTCAGGATCATTGTAAACCACTTGAATGGAAGATCAATGGAAATCCGATTTTTAAAAATGGTTCATATAACTATGTAAGTAGTCAGTTTGATCGTTATACACATACTCAGTCTCAGCACTATATGTATTTACAGAGCATCAGTTTTAATCAACCTCAGCCGGCTGTGAATACAAATTTAAATAAATCCACTAAAACTTTGGTGAGTTGAATACATTTTTTGATGAAAGTACTTGTCCCTATGTTTACGTCTTTTTAGGATGTTAAACCGAAACTGTCCTTCAAATTTTACAGTATTCAGGTCACAAATTTAGAAATTTTCAGTAATTTTCTTTGACCTTAAATTATAACTTGATTTTCTTGATAAAATTTCAGTCCATGAAATCAAGTTGATTCCATTTCTTTATTGAATTAGTTCTATTCTCCTTGAGATATGCAAAAGTTCTTCAGATATTCTTTCTTGTTCAAATTATGTCGATAATGTGACGCTTTATAGAAATTCAGATGCAGTTCACGCAATTCATTTAAGTCTTTAGTTTATTTCATTCAATGTAAAATCATCAATCATGTTTCATGTTTTCGATAAATAAATACAGGTGTCATAGATATAAAGAAGCGAGAATTAATTGGATTTTTGGAAGCTTTTTGTACAACCAATACTGTTCATCGATTTGAGATTTTGAATGAGGGTGAGTTCTTGTAAGATTCAGTTATAATTTGTTTTGTTGCTTATTCCCACACTTCATTTGGCATACATTATTCTCTATTTTACTTGAGTATTACACAAGAGATTATCAGCATACAATGATTGTTTTGTTTGTTTGGTTGTCGTACCAGAACATGTGTGTTTCACAACACCTTTTGATTACTATTATGTGAAAATATGAAACAAAACAGAGATTCATCACAAAATACAAACACATTGGAAGAGTCGAAATGAAGAAAACCAAGTGATGTTATTGTACGAGTGCTATCTATGAACTATCAAGTCATATTTCATGTCTTCCAATACTTTTCTGGCATTTACTGTTTGATTTTGCATTTGCTGTTTGTTAACCATCGAGTTTTGGACTCGATCTTTGCAATCACATTCGTACTATTACCAAATTTCAATACAGGCACTTCTTGAAACAGCTGAGCAATGAAAGAATAATAATATTCTGTGATCATAAGATGGTTAACTCAAACTAGAACACCAAGGTTGAAAACATCCGTTTTTGGTCCGTTATCAGAATTGATTAATAACCGACATCTCAGAAAATGTTATTATATGGGTATTGTCAGTTAAATAATAATAGTCTGTACCACAGTCTAAATCTCCTAGAACAGATGCTACAGAAGAAAAATATTCTTCTTAGTTGGATGGATTGAGACATTTATCATACGGATGTAGGTGATAATGTTTCTTTAACTTTCCACATTCGAGGTACTTGAGTATTTGACAACATCGATTCAATAAATCTCAGAATGAACATCAAAACTTGCATGCAAATGTAGTCCGTGTTAAACTTTCATTTATTGAAAGTGATAGATATTCATTATGCAGATATTTAAACATCCATTTTTATTTTCATTATTTCAGACGAATTATTTGCTGTTAGATGGTTCATTAATAAAGAAGTTAATGGTAAACGTAAGTCAACACATGTGGAATCTAAACACTTACATCTTCATTCCATATGATTATTCACAGTTTTTAAAATTCAATTTGTCTCAGTAACTGAAGATGTAAGAATTTGTCACTTTTCAGAGAAATCAGAGTAGAATTATTTGTGAAATCTACCGATCGCTTGATGACGTTGAATATGATTTGAAGAATAGTTGATGTGATCTTGTAGTGTCTGTGCTTCGTTATTTAATCACCCTCGAACCGTTATCGTACAATCCTCAACGATATTTGAAATCAGAAGGTATAAAGAAGCAGCTACTACAGTTTTATTTAGTAGATAATTCGGACCAGACAGCAGAGAGGCAAAATGAATGAGCAAGCGAACTAGGATTGTAGCAGTAGTAAGTAGCTGTAGTCAATGCGTACAAAATGTACAGTTATATATATGTATAGGAAAATAGGTGAGTCAGCTAATAGATTAAGCAGTTAATAATGACGCTAGCAGAATGAATACATGCGTAGGCGCTAAACAATGTTCAAGCATATGTATTTCATACAAGCATAATAATAAAGATAGTACAACAAGTTGTTATATCATGGATGACTTTGTCCATTAAATAAGTTAACAAAAGGGCTTAACTGAGTTAAATGAGAATAAACCCATTTGCACGTGAGTCGCTATAATAGCTATCCCCTGCAAACAAAGATATATGGAAAATGTCTGTGTTTGCACACAAAAAAATAGTAGACTGAATAGGGTAGTTACAATTGTTTGAAAAAAAAGGCTTATACAAAATTAAGATGAAGTTAGAGTGTGTGCTGTACATTTGGTTTGCGCCCGTCCGTGAGGTTACATAAAATAATAGCAAGAATAGAAGGAATGCGGTATTGTCTTTACATTTTAAACAAAAATTATACGTATAAGTTTAAGGGTACATAAGATACGTTGAGTTTTATAGCGTATAACATGAGCCTAATAGTGCATGTGTATACAATGAAGTAGAAGTTATAATTAATATTCCGAATAGTAGATTATTATTAATAGAAAATCGTAGCAACATAATGTTGGGGCCATCTTACTCTGCGGCCAGATCTTGTTGTTATCGGAGTCTCGTTTTTTTGTAGAGTTAACGTTGTTGATTTTTGGAACTGACGTTTCGAGGATTCGACGGTTTTCGCAGTATCTGTATGTACTGGCTGATCGTAGGCTTCGATGAAAGCTGGTTTGACTCGGTCGATGCTAATTACATCCGTTTTTCCAGCTTTTTCTACCGTAATAGTTTTGTCGTCTCTTTTAATCACCTTAAATGGACCATCGTAGGTCGGTTGTAAGGGACGTTGCACATTATCCCTTCTGATAAACACATGTGTACTGTCACTTAGTTGTTTGGGTATGTACACACAGCGTTGATGTTGTCTCGGAAGCGTTATCCTTAGACTACTCATATGCTGCTTAAGACGCAGTACATAGTCGGCTATATCGGTTGGAACGCTTTTATCTGCGGTGAAAAACTCTCCTGGCAGATGTAGTGTGGTTCCATAAACCAATTCTGCTGGGCAGCATTCTATATCTTGTTTGATTGTTGATCTTAAGCTCAACATGACTAACGGTAGCTTGCTGGCCCAATCGTTATTGCTGATGACAGCTGTAAGGGAGGCTTTAAGTTGCCGATGCAATCTCTCTACCATACCATTCGACATCGGGTGGTAGGATGTTGTGCGAATTCGTTTGATTCCGAGTAGTTCTGTGAGTTGTTGGAAGAGGCGGCTCTCGAATTGAGCTCCTCTATCGGTTGTAATATTAGTAGGTACGCCATAATGGGAGATCCAATGCTCTACTAGGGTTTTTGCGATAGTTTCGGCTGTAATATCTTTCATGGGAACAGCTACAGGCCATCGTGTGAATCTATCAATGCAAGTGAAAATGTAACTGAAGCCATTGGAAACCGGCAGTGGTCCTATAATATCGATATGTATGTGCTCGAATCTGTTATCGGGATGACGGAAATGACCTACTGCGGAACTGGTGTGGCGATGTATCTTAACTCTTTGGCATTTTACACACGCTTGCGTCCAATTACGAATATCCCGATTCATACTTGGCCATACAAAACGTTCGCTGATTAGTTTGATGGTGGCCTTTATTCCGGGATGTGAAATATTGTGCATGGCTTCGAAAATGTTTCGCCTTAGCGGTTTTGGAATAAATGGTCTTGGTTGACCTGTAGAAATATCGCAGGTGATGCTTACTTCTTCCAATGGAGTTTCTTTGAGAACTAACGAGGTTGTATTGGCAGACTTTAGTCTGTTTAACTCGACGTCGATATTTTGTAATGCTGCTAACTTGTGATAATCGATTTCGGACTGGACGAGAGCGTTGACCATCGTTCTGGATAGTGCGTCTGCCACTTTGTTGCTATTGCCTTTGATATACTGAATGTCAGACGTGAACTGTGAAATGAACTCTAATTGTCGGATCTCTCTCGGGGAATAATTGTCTTGCTTTGCGCTTAATGCTTTCGTTAGTGGTTTGTGGTCTGTATAGACGGTAAAATTTATGCCTTCGACCATATGACGGAAGTGTTTTATCGCTAAGTAAATTGCTAGGAGCTCTCTTCCGAAGGTACTATATCTTGTTTGTGTTGGATTCAGTCTTTTCGAAAAAAATGAGAGCGGTTCCCATGTGCCATTTACTAATTGTTGTAAAACGGCTCCTACCGCTACGTCTGAAGCATCCGACATGATAGCCAACGGTGTGTCGCTCTTTCGTCTAGTTAGCGTCATTTCTTTATTTAGTGCTTTTTTAGCATGCTCGAATGCTTGAATCGCTTCTGATGATAATTGGAATGTGCGCGTGTGTCCGCGTAACGCATCTGTTAATGGTTGCAATATTGTCGCACAGTTTGGAATAAATCGTCTGTAATAGTTTATTAACCCGAGAAATCTGCGTAACTTTTTCCATGAATCGGGTAGGGGATAATTCTTAATGGCCTCGACTTCTTTTGCTATTGGTGTGATGCCTTGCGAAGTTATATTGTGACCTGGGAACTGTAAAGATTCTTTTCCAAATTCACACTTCTCAATATTTATAGAAATGCCGTGTTCCCTGAGTCGCATAAATAATTGCCGTAGTTGCTGTATATGCTCATCTTTAGTGGTGCTAGCTACTAATAAATCGTCGATATACGCGTATACCCCAGGTAAACCTCTAATGACCTGGTCTATAAACTGCTGAAAGGTTTGTGCCGCGTTAGTCAGTCCAAAAGGCATACGCAGGAATTCATATAGCTCAAATGGGGTTGTTACCGCTGTCTTTGGTATGTCTTGTGAGGCGACAGGAATGTGGTAGTATGCTCTGACTAAGTCGATCTTCGAGAAGATAGTAGTGCCCTCTATATTGTAGGTGAAATCATGAATGTGCGGTATAGGATATCTATCAGCTACTGTTTGTTTGTTTAGTGCTCTGTAATCCCCACACGGCCTAACCTCTCCATTCTTTTTCGGGGCCATATGTAGCGGGGATGCCCACGGGCTGTTCGATGGCCGTATAATGCCTAGCCTCATTAGTTTGTCGAATTCCTGTTTAGCGATAGCTAGTTTTTTGGGATCTAGCCTTCTTGGTCTTGCGTTAATTGGTGGACCACTCGTTACGATGTGATGCTGGATAGAATGTTTGAGATCTGCTTTACTGTATGTTACTTTTACAAGTTCAGGGAACTCCTTTAACAACAATTTATATGGATCATCACGACTTTTATCGATCACAAGATTCATTGAAACGGCTTCCGTAAGTATTCCTCTTATTGAAGTGGTTTGACTGCCGTTTATAAGTCTGTGTCGTCTAGAGTCTACTAGCAGGTCAAAGTTACATAAGAAATCTACGCCTATTATGGGCATCGATACGTCTGCTATGACAAAGTTCCAGCGGTATGAAGCGCCACGTCCAAAATCTAGGGATAATTTCCGTTTACCATATGTCTTAATATCTGATTTGTTTGCTGCTCTTAGCACTAATGACGGATTAATGTTTTTTCTTTCCTCGTTAAATGGAGGTACTACGCTAATTTCCGCTCCAGTGTCAACTAAAAATTGCGTGCCAGTGGTTCGGTCTTGTATATAAAAGAGGTGACTATTTTCAGGCATTACGTGTGTTGATGCTGTTGCCATTGATACTCGTGGGTATCGGTTACTAGCCTTGTTAAATCTACAAGGTTGTAGGCACTTTCTGTCCCTGTAGCCGAACATTTGATGATACCAACATATCGCGGGAGTTGGGCGTCGTCTAGAAGTTGACCGGGCCCTTTCACGCGAACGATCTCGCGATGACCTTCGTGGCTTTTCTCTCTGCGTTAACTCTGAGAGTTTTCGGCATAAAACATTTATTTCCTTCTGTAGAGTATCAAGTCTATCGTCTACTGTCACGCTGTGTAGTGGAGGGCTTGCTTGCTTGCTTCTTTCGTATATTCTATCGGCTATCTTTGCTATATTGTCTAAATCAGCATCCGTATCTCCTACAGCTAAGATCTGCTGAATATTTGCCGGGAGTCGGCGGAGCCACAATTGATAGAAGAAATTATTGTCAATGTGCCTATCGCCAAGTAGACTTTTCATATAATTTTTTAGTTGTGATGGGGTTCTATCTCCAATTTGTACTTGGCTAAGGAGTTGTTCGACGGCTTGTTGGTCACTGAGAGAGAGAGTTTTAATTACAGCCTCTTTTAGCACGTCGTATGGTTTTTCTGTGTCTGGTTTTGCTAGTGCCTCTCGAACGTTGTCAGCTACTTCGTCTGGGAGTAGTGTGCTTGTCAGGCCGAACTTATCCTTTTGCAAAAGAATGCGGTTAGCGAGAAAATAATTTTCAAGTCTTATAAACCAAAGTTTTGGGTCTGTGATTTTAAAAAAAGGGGCAGGGAGGTTAAGAGACCTCACCGACGAGGCTTGCTGTACGCTTGAAACTGTGTTTTCATAAGACATGCTTATAAAAATTAAATAGCACACGAAAATAATGTAACAGTCACAAGGAAAAATAGACGGGCGAAAACAATGATAATAAAAAAAATGGCGCAATTTATAAAATGGAACGGACTTACTAAATTGCACCAATATATCAATTGTTTATGGATAATTGTTATTTATTATGATTATAATTGTCACGTTTAATAATGTTTACGAAATAATGTAAGTGTAATTAAAATAATAATATAAATCCACAGTTGTAATTATAGTTCATTTGATAATCCAAATTGAGATGAAGGTAGTCGGATTTTTGGAATTTGATTATTTCGTCAAAATTCGCTTCCCGTTCTCACGTCGGGGTTACCAATTCTGTAGTGGCTGTGCTTCGTTATTTAATCACCCTCGAACCGTTATCGTACAATCCTCAACGATATTTGAAATCAGAAGGTATAAAGAAGCAGCTACTACAGTTTTATTTAGTAGATAATTCGGACCAGACAGCAGAGAGGCAAAATGAATGAGCAAGCGAACTAGGATTGTAGCAGTAGTAAGTAGCTGTAGTCAATGCGTACAAAATGTACAGTTATATATATGTATAGGAAAATAGGTGAGTCAGCTAATAGATTAAGCAGTTAATAATGACGCTAGCAGAATGAATACATGCGTAGGCGCTAAACAATGTTCAAGCATATGTATTTCATACAAGCATAATAATAAAGATAGTACAACAAGTTGTTATATCATGGATGACTTTGTCCATTAAATAAGTTAACAAAAGGGCTTAACTGAGTTAAATGAGAATAAACCCATTTGCACGTGAGTCGCTATAATCTAGAAATGACTAAGGTTGATGAGTCAAATACAGATCACTATGGTGGATAAATAAGGTCATAATCTTATTTCACTTGTGTGAAAACGAATTCAGAGAATCTTTGACATTTACAGGCTTGAATTGAATTTGATGAACAGTTTCAGTTTGAAAATAAACACATTGTGTTGTATGTTTGTCACAAAGTCAGTTTTATACACAACACAATCATATACCCATCCATCAATCTCATCGTCTCTCCTAAATATTATCCACCCAAATATTTAAAAATTATCCGTATTACCATCCATCTAAGGCTATTCGTTTCTCATCTACAACAAATAAACACTAAGGTCGTATTCAGTTGATCGATTGAAATATCACGTAACCACGAAACCAATTAAATCCCTAAGTCCAATGTTTATGCAAATACTGCAAATATTATGTCATGTGTACTCAGTCTCGATTGTTTCAGAAGACATTGAAGATTGCATGTCGCATACATACGGATACTTAATTGGCCATTGGATTTTAATGGAATAATTACTGATTTATTGTTTTAGTAATAATACAAAAGTAAAACAGCTTTAGGCATTTGACATTCGTTTAGTAGGATGCATGCTTCTTTCATTCTCATCACAGTTTTAAATATCGATGGTTTTCTAATTGTAGAGTTTACAGCCGAGGTAATCTGCCTAATACATCCGAACGGGAGGATAGTTTTCTATTATGATGAAGTAAGTTGCACAATTGAATGCAAAAGTAGTTTTGTTTCGAGAACTTCAGATTACTCAACTATTTCATGCTTATGAATACTGTCAAATATATAACTAGTTACATTGAACACGAAAGAAATATATCCACATTCTGTAATGTGCAAACAGAATATTTGACACTATTATTCAACCATTGATGACACATGTTATTCAAGCACTTGTTAAAAACAGTGAATAATCAGAAGTGAAGCACTTCATTTTCATCTAGGAGGTTGCGCGTTGAGAGATCATGACTCGAACTATCAACATTTTCTTTCAGGTTTCAACGGAAATTGAAGAAATTGATTGGATACCGATAATCGGATGTGGAGATAGTAAGAAACATTTCAACGAATGTTGTTAGCACATTGATGTCAAGTTACTCGTATCATAAGTCATCTTTTTATGTTATATTACTTTCTGTTTGTACTCTGGTTATCAGCATGTCAATACAGAACATTCCTTTATTCTATCACAGTGATCTAATTTAGTGTTCTTACAGTTTACGTTAAAGATTTGATTTGCTTGTGAAATCAACTGATATAAATGTCATTAAAGTATTGTGGATAATTGTGCAAAATAAAATTGATATGCGTCTTGTAAAAGCACTGTTCAAATGTTATTGAATTGTGAATATTCAACGTTAGATCGAGATTAAAGAAATGATAATTACACTCATTTATTCTTTAACTTACAGTACACAAATCACAGATTTAGTCCTCAGTCTTCACTCAAAAAGAAGGTGTGCTTTGTATGAAACAGAATTAAACGAATGGTACTGGTTGGACATTGAATAATATTGATGCACTTTAATAAGTTTTGGGCATGCTAGATAATCACAGAATTATTTTAAATGAGGCATTTACCAGTTCATTGTTTAGACAACGACTTAAATGATGCAAATAACCTGTTATATTTTCTTGTTCAATATATCACACATGATAAAATAGAACCCCATATAATTACTCCTGAAACATGGATCAAAAGTGGCACGTTGGTGGAATATGAATTCACCGGAGGTATGTTAAAACTTATTTAATCAGCAATAATTATCTTCACTCTTGAAAACATCATTTCTATTTCAACAATTTGAACATTCCATGTATAATTTTATTCAACTACTAAATGATATCGAGCTATCTATCTTAAATGACATTTCATATATCATTAGGAACTACAAATCGACTCATTTGGTGAATAATGAAACGGATTCGAAATCCAATTTGAACCAATACTGAAGTCTTCACTTTGATCAAAAAGTGACTTGACAACAAAGCAACAAAACGATATATGAGATGATATTAGTTTTGAATAAGATTACGTATCCGTGAGTTGACTGCGCGTTGACGAGGAAGAGTCCGTATTTTTTATTGGTACATGTGAAATGAAATATTGCTGAGTTATTGAATTTGCCAAAACACTTCACGTTAATGCGAATACTTTAGAAACGATTGCCATACATGTACGATAAAATGAAGGTATGGATAATACACTTCTCCAAATTACAATTTATCATAGCCAGTTTGAGAATTATTTCCATATTATAAAAATGTGTACCATCTCATAAATATGTACATTGACTAACTATAGACAGATTTTAGATCTCCATGTTTTGTGTCTTCTGAAATAATATTTTTAGTAGTGAGAGAATCATTCCATGATAGAATAATCAGATTGCCGTCAATATTCTTCGAATAAGATACTCCATTTATCATCAATGAATCTTTACTGATCCAACTAGTTTCATAGATTAACTGATAGCACAAAGAACAGAATGCAGCTTGATGTCATCCATCACAGTAGGTCGACTGAAATCTCTCCAAGAAAATCATCATTGATCATTATAAAAACAATGTCAGACTTCGTTTTCGTTTGACTGTATTAACATAATTAAAACTCGATATTTAGTCTGAAAACAACTGAGTTTCTTGAACTAAGTGCATTCATAAAACTGATATCATCTAAAGACACTTTACAAAAATGAAAAAAATCAATGCAATGTGATTTGCTGAGCCCACTGACAGTATCGTTCGTACATATCTGAATATAAACAGTTATTGAAATCCGTCGTTCATACTTGACATTCGACATAGTTTCATTCAATTCAAACATGATGTCGCACTGAATATTGCATTATGCATCGTAGTGACAATTTTCCAGTGAGTGAAATTGTCACTTCACCATTATATCATTGGGTTATTGTTACATGTTTTGTAATTATTTTACCTTTTGTTTGGTTACTTGAAATTAAATCATCTCATTCTTTTCACAGACTACTGTCCAAAACACACTTCACCTAAAGAATGCGAACGCGCAACAAAATCGGATATAATTTGTTTTTGGTGTGAAAATGCGGACATATGCATTGATAGTACTGACCAGAATGCTCATAACATGAAAGTTAATAAGTGCCTTGTTAAGGTTAGTACTTCTTATTCTTCACAGGTCGTTTCCAATATTAAAAATACCGATGAAACCAGTTGGATTGAAGAAGTGTAACCTGTTGGAAATGGTGTGTCATATATTGATGATGAGTGGAAGTAGACTCCATTGTTGATGTTCAGAACAAGGATTTCCGACTCTCTGCTGATTAATATGTAACCTGGATACATAACTTTAATTTCAAAAATCAATTTTAAGTTTATTGGTTTTTATTCGGATTGTGATTAGATGCGACATTCAGAACACAAATTTCATCATACAATTGAGTCGTCTATTAGTTTCAGAATGGTGTGTACTCAGCATACAGACTGTGAAATCGGTAGTGGATGTTCTAAATGATTGTACAAATGCAAATTGCGTTGCTATTTGTTGAACATTGTTCTATTATCAGTGCTGACAAATGTGCATGATGATTACTGAATTAATTGACATTTGGTAATCAATGCTTTTGTTTTATTTATTAAGCTTAAACCAGAAGTGAACGAGTTGAGTAAACAAACACCCACCAAACACATTGAAACAACATCAAGCGCTCGTGAAGAAACTGACCAACCCTCGGTAAATATTTGATATTTAGTAATAAATTCTTATATTTTGTTCTTCTTCAGAACATGACTACCGAAATAAACAAAGAGAATCTACAGAAGAAATCATCATGGTACTTGTATATTGTGATTCCTTTGATCATCATTTTCTTTGTTGTATGTGTTGGTTTTATAATTTGGAAATGGCTACAGAAAAGAACCAGAAGTGAAGAATGATTATCAGAAATCTCTTATAACTTTGATTTATTATTCCAAATTGTTTTCATTGAGTGCTTCTTTAGAACACTTTCCATATCATTATTCATTTCAATAGTTTGGACAATTTCTTTATGGAATTATGTACATTCTTATGATTGTTAACGTAATAACTTATGTAATCTTGTTGACAAAATATAGAAACTGGATTTTTACTACTTGCGTTATTGTCTTCATTGAATAGAAACTGTGTAACATTAAACAAATTTCGAAAAGAAATAGCTCTGTAAGCTTTCGACATTGGATGCTGACCATATTAGTTTTAATGGACTCAACTAGGTGAAGGCAGTCGGTCATGCATCCGCATCAGATCATGAGTGATAACGGTGTGCTCAACAACCCGTGCAATCACTAGCCAGCTTAGATCAGACGATCTTCGATATACTAATAGCCTATCAAATTTAACTTCGAACTTCCTCCCTTCTGATTTTTGATTTCACTTGGTGGGTGCGATTCATAATAGGTGTTACTGATTAAGGCGTTGTCAAACTCCAACTACTTGTGGCATCTACAACTGACTTGTTTAATGAGAGTTTGACAACACTTTGTTTTCAAATTAGCAGTATTGTGTAAGCGTGATTTTATGATAATTGCAATCAACAATGCGTCCGTTGTGATTGTTTATTTCCAATAAAATCTCACTACTGAACAATATCATTTGAAATTAACTTCAGCCATTGTTTTAAACTGAGCGACCATAATAGCTTATGAATATAAATATAGACACTTTTATTCTTCGTTACTTCATTACTTAACGTACAGTAAAAGTTAAACGACAAACTATTTTTAACTCGATGTTCTCAAGACTGATTATGATTCCTTCCATGATTTTGTTGTTGTCACGGACGGTATATGGTCAATTATTTCATTCGAAGCTTGGCCTATAGATAGGCCTGAACTGATGTTGTCATAATCAGCTTCACACAAGACTCTGATGTTTTGATTAAAGAATTGACAGTTGCGTGTGTTACGGGCTGTGGAAGAATAAGAACTCAGCGTCGCACATTGATTCCCAGTTTTAATGGACACATTTACATGACAGTTGCCGCTGATGATTTTTTTTTATTCGACGTCAGTGTTTTGGAGTAAGCAACGCTGCTCATTTAAGAACATTTATCGTTGATAAACTTTTATCATTTTTGACAACGATCGCCACTGTTTATGATCTGTTAAAACACGCCTACTTAATATTAGGTTAAGGTTGATCTCCAGCCAGATGTTAGGAAGGATTGAAGAGCATTGTCACTGAAATTTCAGGTGTTGCTGTCTGTCAGGATGATTTTTGTTCTTGTGGTCAGCAATAAATTTCGTTTGATCATAGACTTACTTCTGTCCTCCGTCATCTGCTTGAGATAATATATGTCGATCGTCTTAGTTGATATTTATTGTGTGCATTTGGTTTCGAAGATTTTGTTGACGGTCGTGATTTCAAACTTGATATAATGCGACTATCTCAACTTGTAGGTGAACAAACGCCGTAAACTCCTACACACTCTATAACAGACGATCTTCAGTGCTGTTCCCTCTTTGTTTTCCACTTGTCATGTCATGTCAGTTTTATTTCGAATTTTATTATTCAATTTTGTCGGAGAGATGCGGAACATGATTCTTCCTTTGTACATTCACTAGAAATTCTCTAAAGTGATGTTCTACTTTAAATTTACTCAACTACCGTACACTTCGTACTTATTACCTTGACCTTTGTTGTGATTACAAGACAATAATCAATACTTTAGATGTATACCAATGCGTATGAAAATATGTTGAAACTCCAATCTGAAACATGGATCGCCGGATGTTTCCCAGGCGCCACTGATTGTCCATCAGTTATTATTATGAAATTTTGGCATAAATAATCATGCCGTTATTCCATTTTTTATATATATTTGCTATTAATAATCTCCATACAGGATCGCGAAAGTACTTATCAGTGTTTTTCACGTTTTGCTAGTCAGTGTTTCAAATTCCATTATTTGTGATCATAACACGCAAACCCTCATGGTGAATTCATACAAAATCACAGAGAACTGAATGTTACCATCAGATAAGTAGCAGATATCTTTGTGTACGAAATGATGCACAGTTCTTGCCAATCGTCGATTTTCTCTAAACACCAAACACCCTTCAACTACTGTTAATTTTCAGTGTAGATTTTTCTTATTTTTATGTAATCAACTATCAAAACTATAATGAAATCATTTTTGCTTTTAAACTAAGTATTGAATATCAATGAAAAGCACCAACTAAATTGTTCATGAGAACGACGCGTAACTCTGTTCATGAAAATTTAATTTAGATGCATAAACATTTTTATGGTTTATGAGGATCCTTCACTTTGAGTGAAAAGAAGTTGAATTCGGATGAGTCAAATGTACGCCGCAAATAGTTTTTTTTTAAGTCAGTGTCAACATTGTTATCATGTTTTCATTAGATGAATAGTTGCTTCATTTATATTAAGCTTAACTAATCTTATTTTCAGGAGGTATTCGGTTCATTTCAATGTCTTAGCGTTATAACAATTGGCTACACGAGATTGTCTCAGTCTTGTAGACGATTATTGGAGTTCTAATGCATGTTCTATCTTAGTTTTGAAATAACAAAATGATTCAATTTTGACTACAGTAATTCATTTCATTCCTGTTGGCGTAATGTCACTGACATTTACAGACTGACGATTAATAAAACTTAACAGTAACAAATCGGTTTGTCAGAACTACTGAGATATAATAAATAAATACACGCACAAAGGAGATCAAAACATTGGTCGATTCACCTATTTGTTGGGCCATCTATATCTGCAGACACTAGACGACTTGTCGAAAAAACACCTTCAGATTCAAATGCATGAAGCTCATTTGACAGTCGCAATACATGTTTGCCATAACCCTGATAAGAGCAGACGAGATGCGTAATCTGCATATTATTAAAACATTTCTCCTCACCTAATCAGTTATATACAACAACGACTCTCAGGCTATACAACATTAATATCTGAATTACAACGAGCAAATGTTGTAATCTCTCATTTTCGAGCTTTTCGATTTAAGGAAATTCATGGTTTTTTTACCACTATACCCCGTTTACACTGAAGTTTGAAACGATCTCTTATATAATCCAAACTATTCGCTAGTCGCATTTAAATTACATAACATCCACATAAGTTAATAGCTAGTTACTTCGTTTTCAAACTCATTACGTACCAATGTAGATTCACTTGTAAACTGAATTTCGGCACAAATAATCATGGTCTAATTACACAATACACTTTCTGTAATATTTGCCAACCGACTATGCCCTTCTTTAGTTCCAAACTCCAAATATAATATTCAGGCGTATTATCTATGACAAAGAAGATAAAACTGGAGGTTAATGTCTGATATACGTTCACGATTAATTCACAGATAGTAGTGTGAAATGGTGTTCTTAGAAGCCCAACTCAATACGTCTAATAATAAACTAACTTTTCAAACGATTTCTTACCCAATGGCTGCACATAAGTTGTCAAAGACACTTCTGTTACTGTTAGCTAACTCATTGTTTATGGATTAGAACACGCTTCTCTTGATTTCAATGTATGGGTCGTCAAGTGATGTTTAAATTACTCTGGTGCACAATAAAATACTTATGAGGTTCGACTATCTGATGGTGAATTTTTAACAAAACTGGAAACGCACCGCTAGTCATACCAAGTTCACACTCTTAAAAAGAAATAATGGAATATTCGATCTAGCCTCCTGTAGAGTTATCATTTCGCACAACTGATTTTAAAGTAACAGCCATAGAAAGGATATTGGGTCTAATCTTATAAAAGTTTCTCATAGCGTTCCTTCACATTACAAGAATCGCAAAGATACAGACCTGATAAGACACTCAGATTGCAACACTGACTTTTAGAGCAATAGTCTCGTGATTGCTGATGGCATATTTTACCGAATCACTTGTTTGTATACTGGAAATCATTCACTCACCTGGAGTGAATTATTTAAGACAGTTAAATATCATAATTACTAATGACACCTACATAAACTCTAATATAAAATGAATAAACACACATAAGCTACACAACGAATTCAAGGTTTATTTATATCAGCTAATCTCATAGGTGTTAGGCATCATTCGCCAATAAAAAGTTACTAGAAATTGCGAAATCAACTCATCCTTCTTGGTCAACAATTTGAAGCACCTGAAAATATAGATATCACCTGACTTTTGAGTAATGACTGTGATGCCATCTCAAAGCTTGTCAGTGTTATTCATGTTGATCATTCAAGAAGCTTGACTGTATACACTTATCCACAAATCAGTGGGATCATCACTTCTTTCAAGAGCACTTGACGTTTTTTTCCTAATCAATATTGAATATTTTGTTTTCTTTACAAGATGGTGTTTATCTGCATTTTTATATCCGTAAATCATAATGTGCAATACTATTTCCAAACTCTCACCATTTGATGACTGAAATGAACTTCGATGGCACATAAAAATCAATTTGATGGCGAACGCTCAGTTTTACTTACAATTTTTGATCCACTGGATCACGAAACAATGACAAGATAACCGATGAAAGAAAATGGGACTTTCGATGGTTGAAATTACAGTGTTTCAAGAGTCGATCATACTGTTTTGTCAACTTTACAACGGACAATTCATCATAATACGGAAATAATAAGCCAAGGACAAACGACCATATCAACACCTGTATCATGAACAGACATGATAAGAGATTCCAAGTTCATTGTCTGAAGAACTTTATTTCGT